CTGTCGGAATCAACGCGCCTACGTCTACGGAGCTTACGCAGAAGTGATTCGCAATTCGGTAGAGCTTGTCAAAAGTGTTTAGAGCTTATGTAGTTTAGAATTTGTTCGGTACGGTCGCGAAATTTTGAAATGATTGATACGTGCAGTAAAATAACTAAATTGAAACAAAGCTCAATAGTAAAATAAGTAAAATATCTAGGGAGGAAACCAAAATTAATCAACTTGCCAACATAGACTATTTCCTCTCCAATCTGATCTTGGACAGCGCGCTTCAAGTTCAAACTCGGCCGGTTCCAGGAACGTCTTTCCGTAGCAAACCTCCTTCCCCTTGGTGGGACCAGCAATGCACTGAGGTTTATCGACGCGTTTAAGCTTTTCCGGAAACGTGGAACACCCGTACATTTCGAAGCGTACTCGGTTCTTGAACGCTAACTCAAGAGCCTCATAAAAGCCAAGAAACGCGGATACTGGCGGCAATTCGTGGACGGATTATCGCGCGAAACGTCGATGAATACGCTTTGGAACGCGGCGCGAAGGATGCGTAACCGGTCTTCGAACAACGAGAGCGAGGAGTACTCAGATCGTTGGATTCTCAAGTTCGCGCGAAAAGTATGTCCTGATTCCGTGCCGGCACAGATGATTCCTCGCGAAACGACGAATTCTGCAGACGAGATCAGCCAGCCTTTTTCAATGCTGGAGCTCTCACTCGCGCTCCTTTCGTGTGGCAATTCGGCTCCGGGGGCTGATAGAATCAAGTTCAACTTGTTGAAGAACCTCCCAGACGTCGCTAAGAGGCGCATGTTGAACTTGTTTTGTCAGTTCCTGGAGCTCAATATTGTTCCGGATGATTGGAGGCGGGTGAGAGTTATAGCCATTAAAAAGCCTGGAAAACCCGCGTCAGATCATAACTCGTATCGTCCCATCGCGATGTTATCGTGCATTCGAAAATTGTTGGAGAAAATGATCCTTTTTCGCTTGGACAAATGGGTTGAGACGAACCACCTACTCTCAGATACTCAATTTGGTTTCCGTAGGGGCAAAGGAACGAACGACTGTCTCGCGTTGCTTTCCGCAGAAATTCAGTTGGCTTTTGCTAAAAAAGAGCAAATGGATTCTGTCTTCTTGGATATTAAGGGGGCTTTTGATTCAGTATCGGTTGAAGTCCTTTCAGACAAACTCCACGCTTTTCTCATGGAAACTCTACAGCTTCACGATTTAGCTACATGGGTCTCCCCCAGGGCTCATGTTTAAGCCTCCTTCTGTATAATTTCTACGTCAGAGAAATTGACAATTGTCTAAGTGACAACTGCACGTTGAGACAACTTACAAATGACGGAGTAGTGTCTATGACAGGGTCCAGAGAGGCCGACCTGCAAAGACCCTTACAGGATACCTTAGACAATTTGTCTACTTGGGCTATCCAGCTAGGTATCGAATTCTCCTCGGAGAAAACTGAGTTGGTCGTTTTTTCTAGGAAGCATAGCCCAGCACAACCGAAGCTTCAACTTTTGGGTAAGCCGATCACTCATTCCATGTCTTTCAAATATCTTGGGGTCTGGTTCGATTCAAAATGCACCTGGAGATCCCACATTGAGTATCTGAAGCGGAAATGCCAACAAAGGATCAATTTTCTCCGAACAATTACCGGAACGTGGTGGGGAGCCCATCCGCAAGATCTTCTAACGTTGTACCGGACAACGATTTTATCGGTTTTAGAATACGGTAGTTTTTGCTTCCAGTCGGCGGCTAAAACGCACATCATCAAACTGGAACGGATCCAGTATCGTTGTCTTCGTATCGCGTTAGGATGCATGCACTCCACTCATACGATGAGTCTCGAAGTGTTAGCGGGCATGTTGCCACTCTCTGATCGGTTTTCGGAATTATCCCTCAGGCTCCTCACCCGTTGTGAAATTATGAACCCACTGGTGATTGCAAACTTTGAGAAGCTTCTTGAGCTAAACCCTCAAACTCGTTTTATGTCATTGTACTACGTGTACATAACACAGGATGTCAGCCCTTCACAGCATAATCCTCAACGTTTATGCTTCTCCGACTTCGACAATTCTGTTCATTTTGATTTATCCATGACGCAAGAGATTCGCGGAATCCCAGAGCATCATCGTTCCATGATTGCTCCGTCAATTTTCGCTGCAAAGTTTGGCCAAGTTGATTCCGCAAGATCGTTCTTCACAGATGGATCATTAATAGAGGCGTCCGCTGGTTTTGGTATTTATAACGAATTTCATAGCGCCTCTCGAATGCTTCATGCTCCTTGTTCCGTATATGTTGCGGAACTGGCGGCAATACATTATACGCTAGAAACGATCGCCTCACTTGCACCAGATCATTATTTTATTTTTACGGATAGTCTCAGTTCTGTCGAGGCTATTCGCTCCATGAGGCCGGTAAAGCACTCTTCGTATTTTCTCATGAAAATACGAGAGCTTCTAAGTGCTTTATCTTTAAGATCTTTTGTCATCATCTTTGCATGGGTCCCATCTCATTGCTCGATTCCGGGCAATGAGAAGGCGGACTCGCTTGCAAAGGTGGGCGCTATGGAAGGCGATATTTACGATCGACAAATCGCCTTCGACGAATTTTTCTTCATTTGGAGTGAAGGGAGTTTGGGACGATGGTTATATTCAATCATCCCTAAGGTGTCGAAGAGTCCTTGGTTCAAGGGGTTGGATGTGGGTCGAGACTTCATTCGTCTGATGTCTCGCCTCATGTCCAATCACTACTCGTTAAACGCTCACTTGTTCCGTGTTGAGCTGGGGGACAGTAATCTCTGTGAATGTGGACAAGGTTACCAGGACGCAGATCACATTATTTGGTCATGTGCTGAGCACCGTGGAGTCAGATCCGAGTTGTACGATTCCCTTCGGGCTCGAGGTAGACAACCTAATGTTCCAGTTCGGGATATTTTGGCTAGACGCGATCTGGAGTTTATGCAACTCATATATGTTTTCTTGAAGAATATTAACCATAGATTGTAAGTTTGATTAACCTTGTGTTTAGTTTGTGTTTTGTATGGGTGTGTGTATTTTTTTTGTAGATTTGTTTATGTAATAATTGTATAATTACAGAGTTGATATAACGTCGATAGGATTAAGTATATGTTTTAGAAATAGTGAAATTTTTTAATCATAAATCATATTCCAAATCTCCTTTTCCCTCTTCCGATCCAAACAATTGTCATCCACTAACCTCAAGAAGACCGCGAGTAATCGGTTCAAATCCTTTAATTTTAGATTTAAGATATTTATAATGTATAAAGAAAATGATAACTTGGCTCTGTAAAGTTTATTCGATTGAGCCTACACAAAAAAAAAACATAGGCTATCACATTTATTTTGGTGGCACTCTTTAAGTGATAATAAGCTGTTTTTTTTTCTCTACGGTTGTCTCACGCGGCGTTCGTAATTTGCGCGATATCTTACGTAATTTAGATGTTTAGCTCTAAACGGTTTTACTGACTCGAGGTCGTTTCTTAAGCGGTTTTGGTGCAGGTTAAACCTTTGGCGGCTGTCAGAATCAACGCGCCTCCGTCTGCGGAGCTTAGGCAGAAGTGATACGCAATTCGATAGAACTTGTCAAAGGCTTTTGAGCTTATGTAGTATAGAACTTGTTCGGTACGGTCGCGAAATCTTGAAATGATTGATACATTCTTTAAATTAAACTAATTTTATACAAAGCTCAGTGGTAAATAAGTAGAATATCTAGGGAGGAAACAAAAATTAATCAACTTGCCAACATAGGCTATCACATTTATTTTGGTGGCACTCTTTAAATAATAATAAGCCTTTTTTCTAGCTTCGGTTGTCTCGCGCGGCTTTCGAAATTCGCGCCGTTTTCGTAACTTACATAATTTAGATATTTCGTTCGAAACGGATTTTCTTATTTAATCGGATTACTACGCGGATGTATCTACGCGCACACGTCACAGCATTTTTTCCATATCTATCTTGAAACAATACACACGGAATCCAGTGTTCAAGCTGCCAACATAGGATAGTCCTTCTGCTGTATTGTCAAAGATAGAAGCAAAATTTATTCAAATGGGTCAAGTCTTGAAAACTAAGCTGTCACGCAGCTCTAGATTGATACCCAATAAAAAAAAGAAATCAACACTTTGACTACTTTTAATTTTTACTAAAAATTCCAGGGTTTGTCCGCAAGATTCTATAGCTGGTTCTTTTATTTGTTATAACTTTTTAAATGCTTTCTAGTCTCAGAATCTTGACAATTATGACTACAGTATATTTTTTTTCAAATCTGTGATCTTGAAAACTTATCAAAATCCCACATTTTAATTATTTTTTCTTCATATCTTGCATCAAGAAAAATTTGAAGAAAAGTTCTAGTTTCAGACTCTACACAAATCCGCAGTGTTTTGGGATTTGGGCGTAATTGCTTTTGTAAACAAAAACACGTAAATTGCCGATTTCTTGCAAACAGAAGCTCAATCTCGTAACCAAACTATACCGAATGATAGAGAAATAATTCCTCTACCTGATAGTGTTATTAGTTTTTGAGATTGAGCTTTTACTTGCGAAAAATCGGCGATTGACCTGTTTGTTTACAAATGCAATTACGCCCAAATCTCAAATCACTCCGGAAATTTCAAAGATGTATCTAGCTTTAAAAAAAGTGATTGAAATTGAGTTTTAAAAGTATCTCGAAAGATCAATTATTTGTTTGGAATACATTAAGTGACTCATAGAGTTCAATTTTGACTTTCAGCTTTAAAAAATATTTTCTGTAATTTTGCTTTTGTTTTTTTTTTTACAAATAACTACCGAAAATTTAAAGTTGGTCGCCTTTTTAAAAATGCGTTCAATTTCGTTTTTTGTTGAATATTAACAACCGGGATTTTTTTTTAATTTGAGCCGGGAAAAAACCGGGAGCTTTAAAATTAAAATTCACTGGCCACCCTGTTATGTACGCACTTACTTGCATTGACCCAAGCCTATTTTTCTTCTCTACTTTACCCAAAGGAACGGAAACGACGGCACCTGGAAGGGAAGGATGAGCGCACAACACAAATCCACCAGAAACCAACAGCAAGCAGCAATCAGCAACACACGACGGAAAATAGGAGATACATGGTCACGCAATAGTCATGTTGTACTATTTCTTTCACGATCCACGCACACACCCACAACAAACTGCAAACGAACTCTGTGCTTCAATTTGTTTTGTTTTTTTTTTTTCGAAACCCAACTCACGCCGGATCGCCAAAACTACCGGAACGAAAAATAGTTACACACTGCTACTACCTAATTCCACACAATCCGAGAGTAGATCAATGGGGCAGCTTTTAGTAGCGTGGTAAAATAGGGAGGAAAAAAAAAGAAGACAGAGATAGGGGAGAAGCAACTCGAGCGCGAGCGCGTAAGCCAAAAGTTTGTTAACAGTTAACAGTAAGTGCCTTCAGAGTGTTATAAGCGCACCAATTTTTATTCATCCTTTTTATATCGTATATGTATACACGTAAAAACAAAATATACAAGGTTTACAAGTACTGTTAGTTAACTTCCACGGTAATGATGAGGAAAACAAATCGTAGTTAAAAGAGTAATGTCTATAAAACAAAATAAAACAAAAGTAAATTCAACGACGCAGCAAGAAGGAAAAGTTCTAGGTTTTTAAGAAGTAGGTATCAGTTCACTACTTGTTTATATGTCATTCTTGTTTAGGAACAAAGTCTCACTGGAAGAAATTTTTTTTATCTACTTTTGGCTACTTGCATAGGTTTTATTATCGTATTTAGAGAAAAAACAAAATTAATAATTTGCTAAATTAATCAATCGGGATCGTTTTAAGTCAAGTGTTGAAAGTTCGCTAGTAGTAAAACGGAAGAATAATAAGAAACCGAAAATAAAGCACGCACAACTGCTACAGTTTGCTTTTAATTTATTTCTTTTTCCCAAAACGATGAATCAAAACAAACCTATTAGGAGAAAATAGTTGAATAAAGTACACGTAATGCAAACTGTACTGTAGTTGCTCTGTTTCGAGTGAATGATTCGGAAGGAGTGGAGGAGGCATTGATTCGTATTCTAGAGCAAGAGAGAGAGAGGGATGTAAGTTATCTATTTAGACCTAAAATAATAAGTCAGGTCCGAGAACGATAGAAAGAGAAGGAAAGTTGATGGGAAGATGAAAAAGCTTTTAATTATTTGATAAATATATTTCTAGGTTGGAAAAAGAGTGTGTAGCGCTTTCGGTTTGCTTGGTAGAAAAAATGAGAAATTGCCCTTTTTCCGCACTGAGCTTGAAATTGTATCTCCGTACGCTATCTACAACCTATCTACATCATGTGCAAATCATTGCTGGCTGGCTGACTGGTGTGAAAATCATTGATAGATAGATAGATCGCGATGAGGTGCGCCGTGTGATGTTTTTTTTTCTTCGTTGTTGGACGGACCATTGTTGGTGTGTGTGTTCGAGAGCGAAAAATTAACTGTGCTACTGGGTGGCTTGGAAAGAGAACATGAATAGCGCCCGCTCGTTGGTTTATGAGTCACGACGACGGGGGTTTGTGTGTTCTTATCATCGCGAATCGAGCGAGAGAAGTGCATCCGTGGAGCGCTATATGTATAAAAGCGAAGATTCGGCATCTACAGAGCGCGGGTGATGCACATGATCAGCAGCACAAGGCCGCAGCGCGTCTCACGGAATGTCGGCATGTTGGTAAGTACTATCGTACACTGTTTTCGTTATTGTTTTATTGAAGGTTGATAAATGGGGAGCTACGTGTGTATTGATCATCTCCATTCAAACTCAATACAGTGACGGAGTCATTGGGAAAATGTAAAACTAAACAAATAAGTCAAGAAATATTTTAAATCATACCGCGGCGGCTACCCCGTTTGCCATGAAATCGTTCGGCATACTGATTGTTTGCCAAAACAAAACCACAGGTCGAAGCATCATGTTCCTTTTACGGCCTATCATAATAACGGAAAAATTACGTACAAATGATTTATGATATTTTATTGCTGATCGAATTGTAGTATCCTACCTTAGCCTAGGCAGTAAAAGCGTACATTTTTAAAGCAAACCATGCTAACGAAACGGTTGGTTCTATTCCCAATCTGGCCAAGGAACTTTTTAGGTTTGGAATTTGTGTCTACCTCTCTGAACATTGGGTATCAATTGCAGGGCTGTTACAACAGGCGCGGTTTTCGCGGATTAGAAACTTTCAGTCGTGAAAATCGCGGAAGCATAAAATAATGTCGCGAAAATCGCGAAGGGACTGATGTGCTGTCACAAAAATTGTGGAATTAATTGTAACCATTCCGTCTCGGACTATTTTGCTGTCATCAATTTTGTTGTTCATTTGGCTCTCAATTTTTTACCGGTTCAAACCAAACACCCTGCAAATAATCGAGAAATGATTTCAATTCAATAAGTCACACAGGATTTACACGGAAATTCCCTGAGTTCTGTCCAATGTGAGACATTTTCCTTTTTTTCCAATGTGAACATAGCATTTTTCGTTGTCAAATCATAAACGAATCGTATATATGCGAATAATTGCCATGTATACTGGATATTCTAGGTTCCCTAAATCGTCCTGGAGTTCAGTTGATTTGTTCTATTATATAAACCAAGACTCCAATAATGTCTGTATTATCGAAATATGTCCAAACAGATTCAAAGTGTCTATGTGGATTGCACCCGACCTATTGCTACGTACCGTATGCGTGATAATGTTTGCACCATTAAGCAATGTCAAAATTTAAAAAAATCATCCAAAATATCGTTATCGAGTTTTTTTATTTATTCAAAGGGGGGATGTTTCTCAGAGTCTTAAACTATGTTAATCATCGATCGAGTTTCCACTTGATGCAATTAAGGCCTCCACACGCTTCCGGAATGCACGGCAGGTTCTAATAATGTAGACTGGATCCATTTCTCTCCAGGTACGGGTCAATGTTTCTCTGTGGCTTGCTGTACTCGGTGGCGTTTAGAACAGGCATTGGCCTTCATGACGCGCCATATTGAGTAATCCAGCGGATTAAGATCGGGGCTGGATGGCGGCTTCTGAGTGCGGTTCGAGGTGTGGCACGGAGTCCCATCTTGTTGAAATACAACATTTGGCTTCGGACCGTACTGTTCTTTGATCCACGGAAGAACATACTTACTTAAAATCCCGATGTAGACCTCCGTGTTGACCTTGTCGCCTTTTGGAATGAACACCGGGTCCATATTTTTGCCATCGGAAGCCACCAATCCAAACACCATAACGCTAGCAGGATGCTTGATCAGATACACCTTCTTGTGCTCGTCGGCCACGTCTTTTACCGGAAGAGAACTAATATACCGGTCGGTTCTGGAATTTGATGCGGGATCGACGGTAAACATGCTCTCGTCGGTAAACAGGATTACCGGATTTTTTCGCTTAAGGAAGTTCAAGATTTTCTAGCATCGTTCGACTCGTAGCTCCCGGATGCGGTTGGTAATCATGTGAGCTTTTTTCCGTGCCTTCGACTTTGCCCCGAAATCTTCTTTTACGATCTTCCGTGCCGTAAAGTCACTGATCCCGTGTTCCTATGCCATTTTCCTTATTGAACGCACTGGATTCACCGGAATCTTCCTTTTGATAGCAGCGATAACCCTCGGAATCCGAGCTGACCTCAGACGACCTGTGACCACCTTCGCGGATAGTTGTCCTTTATTTTCTCGGTCTAAAACCCTTTTGACGGTCCACCGGGACACTCCCATGGCGATTGAAATGTGTTTTTGCGACATTTGCGCGTGGGACAAATCACGAATACGCTGCCACTAAGTGGCAGTCTTCGTCATGGTGCAACTGTCAAACTAAGTAAATCATATTCTTTTATACACAGCCTACTACGGTATGAGCTATAGGTTACTTGCATACAAAGAAAACTAAGGCATTGTATGTACAGGTGAAACGGGAACCTTATTTGTACGATGGTGCAAACATTATAACGCATACGGTATACAAGATGTTAAAGGTTCTGAAAGCATTCTGGAGATCAGATTATTTTTCTACTAGATCACCCATGACTAGTTCAATATCTGTAGTATCGAAATATTCCCAAACAAAATTGCAGTGTCTATGTGGATCATGCCAACCTATTTCCGTGTATGCCAAATGTTCTAGGATTTCCAAATCGATATTTCAATACTACAGATATTATCCTAGTCTTTGTTGATCTAGTAAAACAAATCATCTGAACTGCAGGACGATTTGGAGAACCTAGATCATCTGGTATACGTGGAAATAATTAAACATTATCCATATAGGCACTATGAATCTGTTTGGACATATTTCGATACTACAGACTTTATCCCTGTCATGGATGATCTAGTAGAATAAATCATCTGAACTCCAGAACGATTTGGAGAACTTAAACATCTGGTATACATGACAATAGTTCATGCATGATCCACATAGACACTGTGCATTTGTCTGGAAATATTTCGATACTAAAGACATTGTCCCAATCTCGGTGGATCCAGTAGATCAAATTATCTGAACTCCAGGACGATTTGAAGAACCTTGAGAGACGGCAGCCAACGGCTGAAAGTCTCCTTAATAAAAATATATAAAAAAAAGAAAAGAAAAGAACCTTGAACATCTGGATTACTCGGAAATAGATCATGCATGATCCACATAGACACTTTGAATCTGATTGGACATTTTTCGATACTACAGACATTATTGCAGTCTTAGTTGATCTAGTAGAACAAATCAACTGATGTCCTGGACGATTTGGAAAACCTATAATTTCCGGTATACATAGTAATAACAACAATCAATACGAAACTAACGATGTTAAATTGGCTCACTACTTGACTAGCCTATTGGTCCCAGGCAAACGATTAACGTAGCCCATTCTAATCGAAATTCTAGTACTACGCAATGTTTGTTTTGATTCGCTATGAAAGTTTGACAGATAAAATGAGGGGTGATTGGTTTTTCCTATGTTTCGAGGGGTGAATCGATTAGCTTGGGACCGAAGATAGTACCAGAGCTGAGCCAAAAAGTTGAGCACGTTATTTCGGGACCTTCTAGTCTTAGAGTTACCTCTATGGTAATAAGTC